CTGATCGTCTCACTGGGGAAAGGCGCCAATTTTAATTGGCCACGTCAAAGGAGGAAAAAGAAACTCATCCTGAAGCTCATCCACAACTGGTTGCATTAATTAGATCAACGTGTACCCAACACCATTGGAGCTTGCAGTTCTTCTTCAGGACAGAAACACTTATACGGTCGCATTGTAAGTACTGAATTCCAGATAGATCTTTCATTTCCGAAAATTTCCATTTTTCCTATAAAATGTCTCAAACCGATAATATTACAAATTCAGTTGTCACCTCCATAGAGGTATCTCTAGATCATTTAATTAAACTCCTACCAAATGAATTCGAAGGAGATAGAACAAAGCTACGATCGTTCATCAAACAAATAGATTCTGTGTTCGAATTAGCTAATACTTCACAAAAGCCAGTATTGTTATTATTTATAAAAAATAAAATAGTAGGGAAAGCTAGAGATCAAGTTGATATCCATTGTAACCTTACCACATGGGATGAAATTTCGGATTTATTGTTAAGCTTATATCAAGATAAGAAAACACTAGATCAATTAATGGAGGAGTTGAATTCTATTAAACAAATGCGTAACGAAACTATCTCACAATTTTACCAACGCTTAGAAGAACTTCAGTCCAGAATCCTAGGTACTATTCATTCCGCGGATATTGAAGACAATACATTAGCAAGACGCGTAATAATGATTAACGAAATGACCTTAAATCGGTTCGTATATCACTCACATCCGCAAATTTCACAAATGCTAAGGTATCGCGATTTCAAAAATATTAATAATGCTTTTACTGCTGCAGTAATGGAAGAGAAAGCTTTGCGAATACAGTATAATCAGGTAGAAACACGGAAATGTAAAATTTGCTATAGAACAAATCACACTACTAATGAATGTTTCAATAATCGCAATAGGGCTACTCTGCCTATTAACAGACTCGTTCATTATAATCAAATTGATAGAAACAGAATGCCTCAAAGTGAACCTAAACAGTGTAAGTATTGTAAACGGTTTGGACATGTAATAGAAGAATGTACATAGAAAACGCGAATTTAATAATTCTAGAACACATTCAAATCAAAACTCAAATTTTAAATCCAATTTCCAACACCAAGATGTACCTACGAATCGCTTCCAAAATACAAATTCACAGTTCAAATACACCCCCGGACAAACATCGACAAATTCCTTTTGACCACAAAACGTTATCAATCATGATTCATCCTCAAATAACAACAACGTTGCTCCTACAACGACAAATTTTTACAATGTGCAATGCCCAGGATCTTCCCAATCCCCTTATATCTGTAGAAGCAATGACGTCGGAATTCAACAACCTTTAACATTAGATAATTTTACTACTGCATCGTCATCGTCTCATAATCAGCCTTATATATTATTTGAATCACGTCATTCTACAGCACATAATGGTATTTTAAAATTCTTAATCCATACGGGAGCTAGCATATTCTTACTTAAGGCATCATCTATTCAAAATTATACCGTAGATAAAAATAATTATACTATTTTAAACGGGATAACCCCGCATGCCACGATACAAACAATTGGGGAAACAACAATAGATTTAGCATTTCGTAGTGGCAAAATCGTTAGCAAATTTCAAGTTTTGGACGTAGCTTCAAATATTCCATTTGACGGTATCTTAGGTGATGATTTTCTGAAAGCACATCGCGCCAAAATCAATTATGAAGATTTTCTGCTATCACTGAATTCGATTTCAACTCCCATATCTCTCGGTCGGAATACTCCACAATGCTCTCAAACAACAGTAAGAATTTGTGGACGATCCGAAACAATAATTCCTATAAAATTAATAAATCCATCTAATATTCAAGAAGGAATCGTATCTAGGCAGAGTTTAAATGCAAACAATTCTCTTTTAATTCCACATGCAATTGTTAAAGTCGATCATTATAATCAAGGGTTAATAACGATATTAAATACATCCATTGAATCGCTTGAAATTCCAATTCCTAAAATAGTCATTGAACCTATCCCTAATCATTCATATATTTATAGCCTTGCTGAAAGTCGAGACAATAATAAAGAGTCAAATCGTTTACAAGTATTGCATCAAAATTTACGTTTAAATCATTTAAATTCAGAAGAATGCGATTCAATTAAAGAAATTTGCTCAGAATTTAATGACATATTTCATCTTCCTTCCGACTTACTTACACGTACCACCGCGACATCTCATAAAATTCCGACTATAAATGACACACCAGTGCAAGCGAAAACTTATCGTTATCCTCAAATTCACAAAGCAGAAGTAGAGAAACAAATTGAAAAGATGTTAGCACACGGTATTATCAAACCGTCAACTAGTCCATGGTCGAGCCCCTTATGGGTGGTCCTCAAAAAGCTCGATGCTTCTGTGGAAACGCAAGTGGAGAATAGTAATTGATTATCGCAAGTTAAATCAGAAAACAATAGGCGACTCATATCCTCTCCCAAATATCGAAGATACATTAGATCAAATAGGGATGCACAATATTTCACAACATTGGATTTAGCTAGTGGATTTCACTAAATTCCTATGAATTCCAATGACAGTCCTAAAACTGCATTTTCAACACCTAATGGACATTACGAGTTCACTCGAATGCCATTTGGCCTCAAAAATGCTCCATCCATGAGTTCACTCGAATGTCATTTGGCCTCAAAAATGCTCCACCCTGTTTCCAACGCATGATGAATAACGTATTAACCGGATTAAATAACATACAATGTTTTATCTATCTAGACGATTTAATTATATCCGGATCCACATTAGAGGATCATAATCGAAAATTAAAAAACATATTCTCAAGACTTAGAGAACATAATTTAAAACTCCAGCCAGATAAATGTGAATTCTTAAAGAAATCCTGTGAATACTTAGGCCATGTTATATCTGATAAGGGAATCGAACCTAATCCAAATAAAGTCGCGAGTGTACAAAAGGTACCAAGACCGCGTAATATTAAAGAAATCAAGATGTTCTTAGGGATGGTAGGATATTATAGGAAATTTATAGAAAACTTCTCTATTATAGCTAAACCCTTAACCCAGTTATTAAAGAAAGATATAGAATTCAAATGGACAGAATCTCAAGAGCAAGCATTTCTCACCTTAAAAGAAAAATTAATTAATAAACCAATTCTTCAGTATCCAGATTTTGAGAAACAATTCATTTTAACCACAGATGCATCAGATATAGGAATTGGTGCAGTCCTTTCGCAGAAGGTAAACGATTGAGATCTCCCTGTCGCGTATTACTCTCGTACCCTGAACGACGCGGAACGCAATTATTCCACGACGGAAAAAGAACTTTTAGCAATTGTCAACTCGGTAGAATATTTTCGTCCATATCTATACGGTAGAACGTTTATTATTTATACAGACCACCGATCATTTCAATGGTTGTTTACTTGCAAAAACCCCTCTTCGAAATTAGTAAGATGGCGATTGAAACTAGAATATAGTTACGAAATTAGATATAAACCCGGATGTATAAATTCAAACGTAGATGGACTCTCACGACTTTTTACAATGAATCAAGCGCAAATTGCCAATATTCAATCGCAAACATATCAAGATTTTATAAAATTTCATTATACACAACTAGAGCCGATAGAATTTCCAGTAGAGACTCGATGCCTTGCAAAGATCAACGAACCAATTATTTTAATTTAGTCCTTAGATTTAGATGAAAGTAACCAATATTCCCAATACATACAATCACATTTTGACTTAACCGACTTACAGCCTACCTTACATGAGGCATCTATTTTAGAAAACGAAAGGCAGACAGTATATTTGCTATTTCCATCAAATCTATATTTCAATAAGATAGAATACAAACATTTGTTCAAATGCTTCCAATCGTTGCATTCCCCAATCATTGCATTCAAAAATTCACAGCGATAGTTTTGTTTTTATTTATCCTCATAAGAGCAGCAATTTGAAATCTAATCTATTGTACGGAATGCTAAAGTACGTATTTACTACAAATGACATAGAGATATTCCATAATAATAAAATAACGCCAAAAACGCAAGACGAAATAAATAAAATTTTGCAAGAAAATCATGATAATAAATTAGCAGGACATTTTGGATTTAATAAAACATATAATAGAACAGTTAAATAATACAATTAAGATGGATATTCGGAATTATATAAAATCATGTCACTCCTGTCAAATTAATAAAACGAATTTCAAACCAACTAAACAACCCATGGAAATTACGTCAACATCTAACTTACCATTTGATGGAATAGCAATAGACATAGTAGGTCCTTTGCCTTTAACAGAATCAGGAAATAGATTCATTTTAACTGCACAGGATGATCTAACAAGATATTGCTTTGCGTATGCACTACCAAATCATGAATCAATAACCGTAGCTAAAACCTTAGTTGAATTATTTATGCGATTTGTAATTCCTAAATCAATTCTTTCCGATCAAGGACCTGACTTTATGTCGGACCTAATAAAACATTTCAGTAGCTTGTTTAAAACCAAACACATCATCACAACTCCTTATCACCCGCAAACTAATGGCTCTCTTGAACGCTACCACCTAACACTCAAAGACTACCTAAAACACTATATAAAACCTAATCAAACAGATTGGGATGACTACATTTCATTTGCTACATTCAGTTACAACACGACAGTAACCAAGTCCACTAACTATACTCCTTACGAATTACTTTTCGGTCGCAGCGCATATTTACCTTCTTCTATTACACAAGAATCCGAATTCAAATATACCTATGACGATTATGTATCTTCTTTGAAGAATAAATTAAATATCTCTTTTAAATTAGTCAAGAAAAATTTAATTAATTCAAAAAACAAAAGTAAAGAATACCACGATAAAAAATGTAACCCTGTTGAATTCAAAGTCAATGATCTTGTATGTATACACCAAAAACAAATTAAACCAGGGTTAAATAAAAAACTTTCACCTAATTTCAAGGGTCCTTACAAAATTACTAATGTTTTTCCTAACAAAACAATAGAAGTTCAAGTAGGAAAGAAAAAAATCAAATACCATACCAACTTGCTTAAACGTTATGTTTCAAATGGAAGAAATAACAATACTAATATTGTTGATCCCTAGATTCCGATAGCATTAAATCTCTTTTAAACAATAATAGGCAAACTCAAGTTCTTCTAAAATCTCAAATACATGTCGTTACGAATAGAATAAGGAATTTCAATAACTCCATACAGTCTTTAAAACAAACAGAAACTATAATGAATAACAACACGAAAACAATTAACAAATACATGGTACAAACAGAAAATATCATCTCTAATCGTTTGGTACAAAATACAATGATAAAATTTCGACTTTATTATCTCTATGCACTCAAATCTCTGTCTATTACAACAACTACATTGAAGTAATTAACTTAAATAACCACAATATAATCTCTCCATTTCTAATAATTTCTAATAGTTCCCAAAGATCTTTGTAAAGAACTGGTCAATTATAAAGGCAAATTCGAATTAGCAAACACCATAAGTTACAAAAATCTTCCAAAAATATATAAATTAATCAAACTTCAAAATACAATAATGAACGATCTCGTAGTATTCGTTATCAAGATGCCGCTCATGAGGAGGACAACTTTTGATTAGTTTCACCTAATACCCTTACCTGTCCAACATACAAACAATTAAATCTTTTCATACCACTAAAACCGTACCTATTCCTCTCTCAATCTAAGTCCCATTATACTCTCCTATCGGAAATGAAGGATTGCAATGAGTACCTGGACAGGAAGTACGTATGCACCGATATACATACCGCAAAAATCACTGAAGATTCCACCTGCGAAGTACTACTGTTGATATCGCATATGGACCACCTACCACGCGACTGTTCAACCAAGACGATACACGCTGAAGTCGAAACATGGAAATATGTTTCGAACAACCAATGGCTCTATGTGTTGCAACATCCTACTACTCTGACGATCATCCGCGGGGAAGATAAGGACCACATGGAAGATATTGTCCTTCAACTCAACGATTGAAGGAACCGTTTATTGTCACCCATACAAGCTGGTATACAATAATCTTATGCGTAATTGGTGCCATTCTATTTCTGATCATCTGCGGAAATTGCTGTCATTGGCTGGAATGTTGGAGGTTGCTGAAACGACTATGCTGCTTTACCAGAAGTTCTAACACGGGGGAAATAATACCTCCTGTAATTAAAAATTTTGTCAATTGCAACTTTGACTCTAGCGACCACACGGAACATCGGGAACATTCTACAGAATCGGTTATATATGAGCAATACGGCGAAACTCAAGTTTCTACAGAACCAACCATGAATCAACATCAGTCGCGATCAACGTCACCATCTACAAGCAGATATTATCTCCGATCCAATGTGTCTCAACCTCGAAAAAGCACAACACCTTTATAATTTATAAACATATGTATCGTAATTCATAATTTTTCAATTTTCACTTTTAAGCCTTAATTATGCATATGAATATTTATGTACTATGAACTAAGATCATGAGGGAAAATTTAAAATGTAATCCGAATTCGAAGATTACGATCTTCGAACTAAAAGGGGGAGGTGTTGGATGATGAACGCGTCCAAACAAATAAGATAGTCAAATACTACAGACTCATCCCCAACAAACACACTAATCGAAACGATTCCTACTCCTTACTTATCCTGGACCTCGCACCCGTCCTGAGTCACACTATCCCTTGATCACCGTCCCTACCTCAACCTATCTCCAGCAATAGTATATATAAACCTCGCAATGTACAAAAGTCCCAGAAAGAGTCTAGAATTGATTGTTAGTCGACCTAATAAAGTTATTCGAGTTTTTTTATAATAAAGTGTTGTAAATTCCCCTGGAATCCAACATAGATGTTTGGTATAATGTCGCAGTTTCATAAGTGAGCAAGCGCAACACTTGTGGAGTTCTTCTCATCCCTTATTAGTAAAATCAATAAATCACTTACCTATATTTTAATAGTGAAATAAAGAGTGTATGTAGAGTGAATCGTTGTTTTCTTTTCCTTATATTTTCTAACATGAAGTCGTCTAGGACTAGGTATTCAGGTTGGAAATAATGTGACGTCGCTTTGCTGTCGGAAAGTTCTGATTTGGTAGATTCTCCTATATGAATACCGACGAAGGTAACAGTCTACGACGGAACTTTCATATAGATAGGGTACACGCGCGGTCCAAACGCTCATCGTTTTCTGTTTGTGAAAGGGTTGAGTAAATTTTCTCTTTCAACCCCCAGCTAAAATGCCTTTTCCTTCTTCCGTTTGTACTCCTGACAAATTTACATGTAAAACATTCAACTCTAGTATTTATTTCTTACAATCTTTTTATGCGAAACTCTTGACAAGTTTATTTAAGAGTCAAAGCAACTTTAAAGAAGGCAATCGTTGATGTATATAATAAATTTTTAATGTCTCTAGATAATGATGCAATTTTTACAATTCTTTCTATGTTATATTTACTAAACATAGTTTCAATTTATCTTGTAATCATTTCTTCGCTACACATTGTATTTCATATTTTCAAAATAAGTACCTCTATTATAAGAATTACATACCTAATGAAACAGTTTAATATATTTGTTTTTCTCTATAATATTTTATTAAAAGTTTATTTATACGCGATTTTCATTCGCGTAGAACGAATCTACCTGGAACAGGTACATCGAGAGGCGAGTACCTGTGCTCCAATTTCTGAACTTGTATTTTTTAAACTAAATAATGAAGCTATCTTTTTAAGCATTGATAAATAAATTATGTCTATGATTTATAAATAAAGTAATGTAAAAATGTGATAATCTTTAATAATCCGGTACTTATTCTCAACGATCTACACGCTTTTAAGTTGAAACATAGTTTCTCACTGTCACGGCTGTTTTAAAACACCCTGCGACGCTGGAAAAGACGTTCACTGGATTTTCATAAAAGCATTCTGAGGGAGAATACGGCTGGTCTCATAAATCAGATTCAGTACCCAGACCCGATCCACGATGCATCTAACCCCGATTCCTCGGCAATCATCTTGACCTTTCACAGGGAGCGATTTTACGCGATAAATTTTCGTTGGCATTGCTTGCGAGCAATACCGTGTAAGACAGACCTATTTATAACCAGCCAGCGTTAAGTTCTACCAGGGCCATGAGTTTACGCGAACTCTCCGACGAAGTTTCATCCGTGTCTGAGAGTCGAATGCTTAGAAACTCTCGAGTAGGAACTTTCGAAGCGTTTCGAAGGGATAAAAGAACTTTCCATTCGGGTAAACGCTTTTAATGAGAAAATATGATGCACCGCCCCCTCACAGTAGTCCCCACGACGCCAATTAGAGGAGAATAGCTTTCTCTCACCCCTTCAATCTACCACCCCCAAGTCGGAAACGCCACCACAAGCTATCCACCCCTACTTTATCTCTCCTCCCCTCTCTCTCTGTCTTTTCTTTGTCCTTTCTCCTTCCTCCTATTATCGCGTTGCAAGAAGGAAGTAACCTGGACCGGGTATTTTGATGAAAATCGTAATGCAATAGGCATGTAATACAAAAGGGGGATGAAATACATTCTATCGAAGTCCTCGATAAGACGATCGACCCTTCTTAGTCTCGTGTTCATAACTACGTACTGTGGAATCGATAGGGTACTAAGGGATTTCCAGCTACGGAGACTGGTTATCTAAGGTCTCTCTGTAAAGGGGGCAAGTTAATCTGCAGATTTGGAAATTGATTTCTTTGAGACGAAGCTACTAGTAGATAGGAAAGAAATGTAGTTCATTGCGAGAATAACAAGGCTGCTTATTTTTATAATCCAAATTGATAATCTTGACAGAAGCGATGGAATTAGATACATACATTAAGTGATCTGCGAAATCCACTGGAATATCCTAAGGAACAGTTTTACGTGACCCACTTTATTCTTGGCGTCCTACAACTATAATTACTTTTTTGTTTAAAAATTTCGAATACATCAAACATTGAATATTATAATTTTTTTTTAAATTTTCGAATAAATCAGTTGTAAGGTACTCTTTATACAATATACTAAAATTTTGTGGACTTTCTTATTGTGTAAAGGAAAATGACTAAATATGTTGTAGCATGCCTAATATAGAACAGTGCGTAACTGGAATACTACACATTCTGTTTAGCAGGAATATTTTGTTATATATCTTTCGTGTTCACTATTATTTTATATTCCCGAATTCCTAAATTCTCAAATTTCTAAATTTCCGAATTCTTAAATTCCCGAATTCCTAAATTCCTGAATTCCTGAATTCCTAAATTCCTAAATTCCTCAATTCCTAAATTCCTAAATTCCTAAATTCCTAAATTCCTAAATTCCTAAATTTACAAATTCCCACATTCCTATATTTTCAAATTCCTATATTTCTAAATTTCTAAATTGTATTTATTCAAGAATTTCAAAGAAATTAAATTGAAAAATCTATAAATTAAAAAATTTGAAATTCCTATATTTTTATATTGTTAAATTCTCAAACTCCCCAACCTCCCTAAAAATTACCGAAAACTTGAGCATAGTGTATCGTACACGCAAAAGATTCAACCAGAATGCGTTGTTGCATTTTCATAATACCAGAACGCGATGTAGTCATTTTCTTCAACAGCCATAACAAGTACTTCGTATCATGGCATTTTTAGTGTACCAAACCGCGCTGTGGTTCTTTGAGAACAGTCAGGATAGAAAATTTCATGTTGTGGTTCTTGCTCTAAAACCACTGCGCGTTGTTGTCGATTTTTGTCATTCATTTAGCGTATGGCGTTTTAGCAATTCAGATTCCCATATTAATTTCATTTGAAAGTGGGTGGAATTTTATTGAATTTGGTGATATGTTTTAGTTATAGTTTATCATGATACAGTTTCAAAATTTAAAACGATGTTAAAATTATCGTTTAGAAATCAAATTTCATTTTACATGAATTTGCTATTCTATTCATGAATAAAAACCTTGTAAATTAATCGTACAATTATAAATTACAAATTGTAAATAGAAATATAAAAAATGACTTGATTTGAAACAAATAATTTCACCATCTACATGTATATCAAATGTTGTGAAAAAATGCAAAAATAACAGGCTTAATACGTAATGTATGCATATAGTAAGTCTCTAAAAAAATTTGTTTTGACAAGTGTTTAAAGTTTTCGAGCAAAATTATGAAAGACGTGGAAAACTTGTAATTATCCTTTTAGCAAATCGTCATCGAAAAGTAAATTGTATACTGACTTAAATTATATAATTGATTGTCTGCCGTACACGTCTTAATTTAATAATAATGATAATGTTTGAAATTTTCAAATAAATCAGTTGCAGAATATTTTTCAAACAACGTACAATTGAATAAACAAAATAAAAAACTACGATGACCAGATATTTTTGGATACATATACTTCTATAATTAAAATTTCGTATGCTTTTGACATAGATCTTGATGACTACAAAGAAATACTGCTAATGAAGCTGCAGGTAAAAGTTTTTTGATTACGTATAACACATAAAAAAAAGACTATCAATAAAAAAGATTATTAGGTATTATTGATTTCCAATTGTTACTGTTATTTGGAGTAATAAAACGGTCGAAGCATTAAATTGCATTTTATGTACAAAACTATAAAGTTTTCTTTCGTATTTTATAACTTACGGAAAAAAGCATTCTGAGTTTGTTGCTAACTTTATTTCACTACTTTATAAAATAACTGCAATTTATATATATGTTGTTAGTTCTTGTAAACATCGCGTACAGAATCTTCCTTTTATTCCACTGCGAAATACTGTCTACTTTTTCAGTCGAAAATCAGTTAAGTTTTATTGCGAATTGGTTATGCACTAAATTTTGTAATTACTAAGTGGACATTAACATGCAGAAAAAATAAAAATTCAATTTAATAAATTACAAAATTAGAATGAAGAAATTTAATAAGGTAAAATGCAATTATAATTACAAAGAGCTTTGTAAAATACTTAAGGGGGGAAATACCTTTAGACCGATGAAAATAGGCTGATTTTTGTGAATTTTTTTGTATAGGATATCTTTGTTTTGCGTTTTTGAAATTTCAGGTATAATTTATTATAACTATTGCCTATTACGCAATATTTTTTGTTTTTAAATACATTTAAAAATGGCGGAATTATAACAGTCCTTCCTGGATGTGTTTGGTGCGTCTCGTGAATCGGTGTGGGTTCTAGCCTTAGATCCATTGGTCTGAAACAAGTTTGCAGACAATGTTTCGAAAACTAACATTCACAATTAGTAGATGAACCTCAGAAATGTGCAAAATGTGTAAAATTAAAGAAATGGCGCGCTTTTAAAGAAAAACTTTGAATTTTATTGAAAATTTTTGCACTATTTTGCAATAAAAAGGACTTTAATGTTCAATTTATTTCATACATTTAGGTTCATATGTTAGATACTATTGTCATGAATATGTGCAAAAAATTTGAGCGCGATTGATAAACTAGTTTTTGAGT